AAGCTGTTAGTATTAAATGTATTTTAGCTACATTTCAGTAAGAAGCTGTTACTATTAAATGTATTTTAGCTACATTTCAGTAAGAAGCTGTTAGTATTAATGGTATTTTAGCTACATTTCAGTAAGAAGCTGTTGGTAATAATGGTATTTTAGCTACATTTCAGTAAGAAGCTGTTAGTATTAAATGTATTTTGCGCACAAGATTCTAGTACGAGTTTAATAAAATTGGTGAACTATCTTTCTTTTTTTGTTGTTTTAATCATTTAATGTATACCATTTGCAAGTCTGCGATCATTAGTTTGACCTATGATTTACTTTTTATGTGTTTCTTCGATGTGATTCATGTTTATTTTATAGTAGTTTTCTCGAGTATGCAAGGCTATTGCTCATGGTTGTTTCCGTAGCAAAGTTTTTCCAACCATACTTTTAATTAAGACGTGTAGTAACCGTTACATTTCCTTGACTTGAGGTTTTTTATAATGTAATGTTTGACGTGAGAAAATTTATCTCGCAAAGTGTGAGAATTAGTTTGATTAGTTTTTCATGATATTTCGGAGATTTTCCCCCAAAACGGAAAGGCACGTTATAATTACCCTTGTCATTCTTTGAAATGGCAAATTATCTGGTATTTGGTATTTCAGAGTGTTGTTGTATTTATCTACTATAAACAATTTTCTTAAATATTAGATTTTGTTTTCAAAGTCCTCGGAATAGCATTTTTTTTCACTCTGCATTTCAGAATGAAACTTAATTTGAGATTGACTAAACATTTCGTTCTTGATGACGATAATAATAACAAAATAGAAGAATTCGATTCCTAGATGACTTCGAAATTGTAGTATGATTGGCAGATATGCTAAGAACAGTGATTCCTAGATGACTTCGAAATTGTAGTATGATTGGCAGATATGCTAAGAACAGTGATTCCTAGATGACTTCGAAATTGTAGTATGATTGGCAGATATGCTAAGAACAGTGTTCAATCCAGACCTTTCCACTGGGGTGGGAGTATGTGAAGCTGACGGAATGAATTCAAATTCGACAAAAGGGAAAATACTGTACTTCAGGGCAAACTTTTCTGAACAGGGGGGAATTCCCCCTGTACATCCCTGAATTCAAAACTAACTAAGAAAGTTTCACCATACGTTTTTACCTTTTTAATGATTTCCCATTCAGTAACTCTTAGCCTTGGGCAGGCCAACTATCTTAATCACTTTTAACAAATATTTTAATTTTTTTTTTTTTGCATAAAACTAGTGGTTTTATATAGAGTCTCTTCGTGGTTTATTGTTTCAGGATGTTTTTCGAAGACGAACAACTGAAAGTTTTAAAACTGTCTGCTATAATTCCAATTCCTCTATTTCTAAGCCAAAAAAATTAAGAGTAACAAAGATATCCTTACATCAACGTTACATGCTTGAAAGTAAGGTCGTCGGGAGTAACAAAAATAACCTTACACGATGTTCCATGCTTGAAAGTAAGATCGCCAGGAGTAATAAAGATATCCTTACATCGACGTTGCATGCTTGAAAGTAAGGTCGCTAGGAGTAACAAAGATAGCCTTACATGATGTTACATGCTTGAAAGTAAGGTCGTCGGGAGTAACAAAAATAACCTTACACGACGTTGCATGTTTGAAAGTGTAATGTTCTTAAGTTTCTGAGTTAACCTTGGCCACTGTTTTGAATCTGGAGTCACTTGATGAGACGTGGCGCGTCTCCCAAGGGATTCTCTTCCATTATATATGCGGTGAGGTTGAAGTTCATAAAATCCACTCCATTCTGTAAATTTCTTCATCTTCAGGGAATTTATCGGCCAGTTTAGCATAGTTGGAGTGAGTATTATCACCCATTAGGCAGAAATCAAGACCCAATGGACGGTAACATGAAGAGTCGTGTGATGTGGTGTCCATCATGTATGACATTCGTGGTACCTTATTGTAGGATGCAGAAGCTGGTAAGTTCAATAATGCTTAGCTCTGTTCACACCAGACTTTCACCACCGTTATATGCGCTATGTTCTCGGTTCAGCAGTAAGAGTGAGAGCTTATAACGCTAAGCATTGAGTTTCGATATCCGTGGTGGGCACAGCATAGATAGCCCATTGTGTAGCTTGGTGTTTAACAACAAACGAACCTATAAGAAAATTTGATGGATTACATTCCAAATCCTCTCCAAACGAGTGCAGGCTTGTTGTCTGGCTGTAGGGCGAGGCTGTAAAAATAGTATTCCTATCTATGTATTGGACCATCGAATGTGCTCCTCCACCGTTGGAAGCGATCAGGAATATATCTTCTTAGGTATCTGACATATGGTTTGACCTTGTGAAGTCTGCTTTTAACCTTCTGCTTACTTACATGGCATCCAGTTGTGGCTTTGCTTATTATAATGTTAGTGGTCATTTTCAACCGTTTGGATTGGTTACCTCCCCAGAAGTGGTCTAGCTTCATATTCTAACAACCGTTTGGATTGTTTACCTCACCAGAAGTGGTCTAGCTTCATATTCTAAGATAACATCAATTTTGAATCTTTCTTGCATTTCTACCCTGATAATATATAATATTAATAGTGTCATTTTTACGTACTCTTCTCAAGGAGTCTTGAGCGATTTTTCGCTTGGAGTGCCCTTGCCCAACCAAAATATGATTTCTACACACCTGTTATGCGGTGTTTTAGTCCTGGGAGCCATGACTGGATTTCTATTACTAGTAGTACAGGGCATAATATGACTGCCTTCACTTTTATAAGCATTTTGTTCTCATGGCACTTTCTGATTGGTAATATGACAACAAATTACAGTGTAAACTATCAACACATGACTCTACTCTGATGCGTTTAATTTTTACACGACAAAAGGGTGACATTCCCACAATATTCACATCTTATACCCTTCTTACTCACCGTGTCCATAATTATTCTAAATGCTGTATAAATATAAATATTACTGTACAATTTGAAAGTATTTGGCATTTTAAGCCTGAACAGACTTTATGCGTTACATGCGCTAAAGTGCCAGGTCAGAAACCCCAAAGTTCAAGTATAACCATTTCTAATTTTGAACTGCTAACCAGGCGGGGGATGAAAAGTCTGGATCACTCGTCGTCTACACGGCTATTCTTAAACGAATAGCAAGATAGACTGTTACTTTTATAGCTTGTTTACAGCTGAAAATGCAGGACGTTTTCAGTGGCATATTGTGGTCTCGAACTTTGGACCTTTCGATCTGCAGCCCAATACATTAACCACTTAATCACGCCCGACCCTAAATTTGAAGAAGAGAATACTCAAATGAAAGGAGAAATAAAGGATGGAGATCCTCGTCAAGGTGACAAATGTTTCCATGTGAGGAAGCCGAACCTAAAGCAGTATGATGAATAATAACAGAAAAAACCAAGAATAAGAAAATCTACCATTTTGTAGTAAAAATGGCAAGGTTCCACCCAAATATACTGAAAATTCATTTTCACAGTCCGTAACTGAATTGGTTCTTCCGAATTACAGCCCTCCTAAATTTGCAAAGTAAAAATTTTTTCTAGCTCTGTTCTCTTTGCTTTGATATTTTACCTGACTACGACATCGACTGTATAGGTGCATAAAATATAACTGTAAGATCACGATTAGACTTATAATCCAGCCTCTCAAGGATGAAGATAAGTTTTCAGTTATTATTATTATTATTAGTTTTTACAAAACAACTTTATAAAGTCTACTTTTCCACAAAATTGCCACTTTCAAATCAAATTCCCCATAAAAGTAATATAATAATTCCAGGAACATCTGAGAGTTCTGGACGTTCATCTAGAGCGGCAAATAGTTGGGCTATAAGAACTAGTGCAACATAAATCTGAGTTTGACGGATATGTACCTTTATATATATCTCAAGGTCCGTAAAATATTTTCAAATAAAAAAGAAACCAAAACCTTAATTAGCTGGAAGCTGAATAAGTTAAAATTTTAGAATAAAGAAAAGTACTATGTAGTTTTATCTAGGCCATGGTCGAAACATTTCTGGTGAAACTTTTAAAAGAAACAACTCCTTACAAGTTTACTCTCACTCCTGTTAATACCCTTGTTTGATTATAAGTTAGGTCAACTGCGTCTGTAACATTCAAACCAGTTTGACTTCTTATGTGCGGTTAGGCTCGCGGCAAATTCATACCTAGCACGTGGATCGCGACTTGCTAAATAGACCAGTTTTCAATTTTTCGATTTAAGACCTGCGAGACGCTTGGATACGTGCCAAGGTTAAAACACGTGCTGGACATAACCGTAACGTGACACCATCAGGTCTATGCGTATCAACTAGTAGTTCCCGAAAGAACATTTTAACCAATGGAAAGATGAAAATTCTACCTTTCTTCAGCTGACTTCTACGTCACGGCCTTGTTTCCCGTTCACAGTAATAGAAAAAATATATAAAAGGATTTTCTTCGCTTCTCAGTAATAACGTAACTCAATATGTGAAGGTAGACTGTACGTCGTATATCGGAAGGAACCCTCGTGGCAATCATTCCTCGGCTAGGCTATAACGATTGCTCCAGACATTTGACAATGCATGTATAGTAGCCGGAATCTGAGGGCTGCTTTCAAAGCCCGATGCGCATATACTCAAAGTGTCAGAGACCTTCGACCGCTTAATAATTGTTCGGCACCATTTTAAAAAGCGTTTAGTTGTAAATTTCTTTTTTTAAATAGTTATAAGAAAATGGTTTTGTTATCAGAACTCAACTGCTCGAATAACTCTCATGGTGACCAGTCACGTAGATAACTCTCATAGTGGCCAATCAGCAACAAGATCTTAGACAGCTGCCAATCAAATGTTTTAAGGAGCTACTTACACTCCAAGTCGACACACGCTATATCGACTCGTGAAAACTTTTAACAACAACAACAACACAAGATTGACTCATTCACCTTCCAAAAGCCATTTCTGAAGTATTGAAAGACTAAACCCATCTTAACAGTTGTGACAAAATTACATGTGTGGCAGAGTTATAAGAACACGTCAATTACAAGATGGGTAACTTAGCAACAGCTGGCTCACCCGGACACAGTCCTTCATACGATGACTTTAGGTCGCTAGAGGAAAAGATTGAAGCTTGGGAGGCAAAAGGTCGCTTGCCACGCATCCAGCCAATCCGCAGGACTCGGAGTCAAGTGATAAAGACGAGGGTAAGAGTTCCTATTCATGAGTGTTGTTGCCATTACTTAAGCCTAATGACGTTCTTAAGAATTCCTTTTCATGAGTGTTATTTCAATTACTTAAGCCTAATGAAGTCGCTGTAGAACCAAAATAATCTACCTCTTTTAGCTCACACAGCTCATCCGAATAAACATGTGTTTATAAATGTATTACGCATGACGAGCACCTGGTGTAATGGCTATAAATAGTACAAAGTCTTTTGGTGTTGAACCATTTCTAGTTGTATAGACTACGCCGCTGTGGTATATGGATGCACGCGATAAGACGGATGGAATCAAAATATATAATTATAGCAGCAAGTTTCTGCCATAACGTAACTTGTTTTCTATCAGTTGTTTTCTTATTTTAACTTCTATGTTGCCATGAAGAGTGCTCATGGTGGGTTATAATATTCGAGTCTGAACCCTACGTGAATAGTGTTTGTAATTCTTGCTTCATCGAAGAGAAAAGTTATTGATTTCGTGAGTTTTATTTGCCTTTTTTTTAATTAAAATATTGGGATTGTTTGTTTGTTTGCTTTTTGAATTTCGCGCAAAACTACACAAGGGCTATCTGTGCTAGCCGTCCATAATTTAGCAGTGTAAGACCAGAGGGAAGGCAGCTAGTCATCACCACCCACCGCCAACTCTTGGGCTACTCTTTTATCAACGAATAGTGGGATTGACCGTCACATTATAACGCCCCCACGGCTGAAAGGGCGAGCATGTTTGGTGGGACTGGGATTCGAACCCGCGACTCTTAGATTGCGAGTCGAGCGCCCTAACCACCTGGCCATGCCGGGCCCAAATATTGGGAAGACTTGGGAGAACCAAATCCATTTTACTGTGTATTTGTATATTTTAAATAATAAGGCAAGTTTCTGTCTGACATTCCTGTCTAAGTCATATATTGATCAAATTAGCTTGTTTAAGAACGGGATGAATTAAATACTTTCAAATATACCTAATGCCTCTCTACTGTTCCCTACCTACATCCATTTCTGATTGATGCAACTAACTTACAGAAAATTGCTGCCTAAACTGCTTTAAAAGTTTGTAACAACTCTAGGATTTGCTTGTTAAACTACATAATGGACCACTTGCGCTGTACCCATTGCGGGTATTGAGCTCTGATTTTTAGCTTTTATAAGCCCTCAAGTTTACTGCTGAGCCATCACGGGGTGGAGGCAACATTCGCAAGAAGAAGTTTTGGACTATGATTATATCAGGACACGTTCATTTAGTTCAATGTGATAATATTTGTTCTAAGTTTGATGTTTGCAGATATTATATTAAAAGCTAGAAATTAACTGTTTCAGTTTACGTGTGTCAAAATTCTGGTACACTCTGTTGACAGGTTGTGATACACGCTGCACTCATCTGAATAAGAGTGCATAACTCACGTTTATAAACTCGTTTGGTGACGTAGCCTGCTATTGTTTTCTAAAAAGTAGATAAGACATTTCATTCTATCAAACACGATGAAATAAGTATAGTTTTGTAAATGCTTATCTCGTGCCACCTTTGTCGAAACTGAAACTGTCTATCTGATTTCGACTGACGTGCTGACTCAAAACATACGTGTTCCTCGTGGGACAGCAGTAAGCCTACGGACTTACAACGTTAAAATCCGGGGTTCGATTCCCTACGGCAAATACAGCAGATAACATAATGGGGCTTTTTTTGCTCAATAACAAACAAACAAACAGAACATACGTATCCCTCGTGGGACAGCGGTAAGTCTACGGACTTACAACGCTAAAATCCGGGGTTCGATTGACTTACAACGTTAAAATCCAGGGTTGGCTTCCCTCCTGTAGACACAACAGATAGCCTAATGTGGCTTTGCTCTAAAACAAAGAAACAGAACATACGCTTTCTAATAATATCTGTGACCATCAACTTATACCATTAAGAAAAGAGCAATTGTGAGCTTAAACTTTGGACCATTAAATGTAGAAGACAAACCATGTACAAGTCAGAAGAAGACACACGGAATCTTTCATTTCCAAGTTTGGTGATCCTATTATAATGGTTCATAAGGCTCTATACGGCAACTTTTGTAAACAATCTGGATGGGTGGGTGCCATTCAATATATCACATTGATTTTTATATAGTTAATGGATTAAAACACCTGTCCATAATGCATGGTTTTACATCTTTTGTTTCATAAAACTTCTTTATATCTTACAAGTTGAGGTACCGATCTTTCGTCCGGGCTGTGAATATTTAAAAAATATGTGGGTGTATGCTATGATAAATAACATAAAAATCCTAACTTTTACACAATTTATTTATAACATAACATATTATTATTATAGTATTCATTATTACCTAACCAAAAGTTTTGTAAAAGCTTTAAGAACTTACTTTGTGCATACTTAAAACATGGTATACACTGTGCGATGGTCAATGTGTCTTTGTAGGAAGATGTAGCAGTCACAGTAGTGGTGGTAGGGGTGTTTTCTCTTACCCACTTTCAACATCCACTTCTTAATGTCCTTCTACAGTGTTTCACGTATTGATGAATTGACGGTCCCTAGCCGCGGAAGTGTCTTAACTGGATGAAGTTGTAAGGTCACGGGTCAAAGTAGGAAGTGGGCATAACTTAAGAAACGGCTCTTCATATCAGCCTTATGGTGGCTGTTGAAGTTGAAACTTCATCTGGGTTTATGTATTATTGCAATAGTGAGGGTCATTTTGTTATTGCATTCCTCCGTAGAGAGTGCTAGAACACTGTCTGAGATATATATAAGACGTTTGTATGCCCTCCCCCCCCCCCACACACACACACTGTGTGTATGCTGTGTTATAGAAAATTTTTTATTTTTTGGTTTGGTGTAAGGACGTAGCGCCATCTATGAATATAGATAACGTTATCTTCAAAGATAATAAACGCTCAATAACAGCAATAACGAGGTGGATGGATAGAGTTATGAATCCCCAATTAATATGCTCCTTTTTACAAAGTATCATCCCGCAAAGTTTGGTTGAGATTGGCCCAGCGACCTAGAAGTAGTTAGATAACAGACAAACAGACAGACACACAGATTCTTTTGTGCTTTATATAGAGAGATATATACATATATCAGTAGTAAGTGGATAATTTGCTGTGCCAAGTAGTGCTACCTAAAGTGGTAAAATAAACGAAATTATGTAATCAGACACATATCGTGTGTTTTGACTACCTTTTAAAATAACATCACAGCTTGTCTGTTTTGTATTGTGGATAAAAACCTCGATGTATATCCTTCACGGATGAAACGCTGAACAACTGTACATTTATTTAGTAGCTTTCCTTGCCCATGAGCTTGGATATTTCCACAGAACTAAAGTTTTTTTATACATCAACTAAAAGTGTTGCAACGTCATTATGGACATATAATCACATGAAGTTAATTGTTTTGCAATCAGGTGGATTTAAAGAGTCTTCCTATCCTTTTATAAAACTGTTTTAACCTGCTCCTGTGTGTTCCTGGATTTTACAGGATTTTCCTATCCTGTTATAAAACTGTTTTAACCTCTCCTGGGTGTTCCTGGATCTTACAGGATCTTCCTATCCTGTTATAAAACCGTTTTAACCTGCTTCTGGGTGTTCCTGGATTTTACAGGGTCTTCCTATCCTGTTATAAAACTGTTTTAACCTGCTCCTGGGTGGCTCAGCGGTAATCTTGAGGGCATATAACACTAAAATTCAAAGCTCGATCCCTACAATGGACACGTCACAGATGGTTCATTGTGCTGCTTTGTGCTTAGACAAACTTAATTGATTAAGTATTTTACCCACTAATGTGATTATAAAGTACGTATTCATATCATGTGTACAAATATGTGTAACTTGTTGAATGGTGGGCGCGCATGTCACTTCGGACCATTTTGGTTACTTTAAGATATTTGAATAAAACGTACAAATAAACGCACGTATAATAGTTACCGTATTTTATGTCAAAATCTGCTTGCGTCCTA